TAAGGCTCGTCTTCAATAAGAAAACCACAAGTTCGGCTCGACTTGTCTCCAATGATAAGGAATTCATGAGCTAGGGCTCGTCTTGAGCAATTGCGATGATGTTTCAAAGATGCGAGGTCTTAGAACTTGCCTCGAGTAATAGAGATGATAGTCAAATGTGCCTTAAATAAGAGAAATCCCATGTCGATATATTTTTGAACACTTGGTGTGCTTATGACCTTTGTATAAGTTGTTGTTGATGTTTATTTGTAGCCTCCAAGTTATTTGAAACAATTGTGGCAACTCAGGTAGAAGGAAAAGAATCCAGAAGATGTGCCGAACTTGAAGAAAATAACTCACCAAATATTGTCCCATGTAAAGAAAAGCAGATTTAGGCCCAATCAAAGCCCAGTAGTAGCAATTGTACCATGGAAAATAAATCTAGGAGTTAGTTTAGAATAATATCCAATATACCCAATTAAATCAGTTGACTCAAATAAAAGTAGCAGGCCCAATCAATGAAATAATGAATAGTAATCCACCAAAAAGCTTATAGATAGAAGCTAAAATATCTGACAAGAACCCAAAGCGAACAGCCTACTTTCAGAAAAGTTCATAGATTTAGGTGAGAATATATGTTGTACCAACCCAAGAAAAAGAACCAAGAAATTGACGTATCTAGTTGAGCCTAATCTTTAAGACAAAAGGAGGCTATGAGGCCCAATAAAATAAATTTGCTGGTCCAATCAAGTTCAAAAATTTAAGCCCATTAAATCTCTGTAGACCATAAATTAGTTCAGATGTGCTAAAAAGGTCCATTTAAAAGAATAAGGTTTTGGTCACTTTAAATCAAAAGATTAACATGGGCCCAATTTTACATAAACAGTTGCCCAATCTACTAAGCCCATCAACTAGCAATTAATTCTTCCAAGAGGCCCAATAACTAACCAATATATAATCATTATGTCTTCCCCAACCTGTTAATTGACAAGTACCAATTAGGTCGAAAAGTCAGTTTCTCTTTCCCACAAAGTAGCTGGCGTGAACCATTTGCAAAGTAATCATCATCAGACTTGTCTCCATCACCATTAATGTGCACACAACTAGACTCGAGCTCTAGCCAAGGACCTTGCTGTGAAGATTTTCCGGTGGGTTGCGGGTGGCAGCTACTTAAATAATGGTGGTTGTCGGAGGTCATGGAGGTTTCAATAATAGTTGAGACAGTAGACAAAAGTCGAAGCTGGACATTCTCGTGCTTGGTGATGCCGGTGGTTACTTCCAAAGTGGTCACCGGAGCTTGCAACATTAATTGGAACAAGCTGTACTTATCTTTTCATTTTTCAGTTACTTTTCATTTGTACTGGAGCTCCCATCTTTTCCTGTAACCAAATATTTGAAAGAAGTAAAATGGCAGGTAAAACCATTATCATTGAGAGTCAGTAGTTGCAAGAGAGGTTTTTTAATTCAAATTTGGAGAGAAATAATGGCTTCCCTTTTCCTTGAATTTATGCTTGGAGATGCTATCAAATATTTTTAATTTTATCAACACAAATGGCTGCCTTCTTCCCCTGCATTCTTGTGGTTGAATTCTTCAATTTGATGTTGAAAATTTCCTTTCAAGATCTGCCTTCATTTTTCCCATGAGTAGATTCTTGTGTTGCCCCTTTATTTCCAACAAGTTACTCTTCTTCTTTTTGGATGGCTGGCTCTATCGTTTTGGTAGAGGAGACTTCCCAGAAAATCCCATCCTGTCTGGTTGCTGTCCTCTCTTTTGGTAGAACGTTGTCGCTCGGAAATTTTTTCAATTTCCGGTGACCTTTAGGTATGTGGTATAACATGGTTAACGTAGCGTTTCCCACAGACGGCGCCAATCTGTTGACCTCCAAAAATGGCTCCAACAGGTTCCCTAGCCTCGTCCTCTCGATACATGCGCATGTAGCACCCCGTCAAGAGGCAAAGACGGCCGGACAAGAAAAATGTCCGCCGACCGTTTGTACTCCGACGGTCAAGTCAACGGCCGGACGGAAATAAATATATAGAGTGCAATAATATGGAGATGGGGGTTTGGTTAGGAATGAAGAACATACCTTGTTGTGTGAGTTGAACCCATATATATAGAGAAATGGATGGGAAGCGGGCCAAACGGATTAGTGGGCCTAAGTCTGAGCCTAATACGAGGTGAGCAAAATAATAGGCGCCTCGACAGGCGCTTCGGCTAGACTTCTAGGGCCTCGGCTGCGCCTCGGCTGGCCTTCTCAGAGCCTCGGCTTTGGGGCCCAACACTAATGGGCCTAGCTCGGGTCCAATAAGATGACCCAATATGGAGTGATAATTCATAGGCGTAACATGTACTTTGCTAGATACTTTTGAATTGTAATTGATGCATTGTGATTTCAGATATATCTTGATTTTAATTTTAGTTGCTGCATCATGTTTAAGGTGGGCTTTCAACCTGTTTTGAAATTTTGATTACTGCACAGGCTAATATAAAATAAAATAAATCACGTTTATCAATGGAAACCATAGTCGGGAAATGTGGATTGCATATATTCAAATTCACTAGCTTAAAATCACATTTATCGACTTAAATTTCTTGGTCGGCAAATGTATACTTTCCAAGACCAACGACTGTGGCCAACTTATATTTTTCCTGACTTAGTTCAGATTTTACTGACCAAAAAATATGGTAATGAACAAGCTCTCGTTACCAACCAGCTTCTCGTTCGTTAGCAAAAATCTCTATCTTTCTCGACAGCATGTATTCTAATTATTAAAAACCTTTGCTGGCTGACTTTGGTGACCAGCTATCAACCAGCATTTTCTAGTCAAGGATTGACAATACCGGCTGGTATTGAACTTTAGCGACCAATTTTTGAATCGACAAAACTCATATTTTGAGTAGTGGTTCATTATGTTCACTTTTATGACAAAAGTCTCTTTGATGTCATCTTTTAAGCAGTGGAAACTTGTTATATTGATAACTGGTAGTGTTTTTTCTTTAATTTTTGGTCATTATCAGAACATATTTGGCAGTAAACGGCACTTTGGATTATTGAAAAAGAAAAACACGTACTTATTGTTAAGATGTGGGTTTCCACTCACATTCCTTCCATTGAAGTTGTGTGGTCCTGTTCAAAAGAAATTTAACTTTATCATTTCATATCCATTGATCATGGTCATGACCCCAAAAAGGATTGGATCTGATGTCATATCTGATACAATACGTTACTACCACTTTACACGTTCAATATTGCTACATGGTCTTCGACATCCATTTCAAGGCTCATTTCTCAACACAAAGCAAGCCTAATGAGGTTATATTATATTTGGTATGTCGACTAACAAATCAAAGAGTACAAGATGTGTCACGAATAAATGCCTAATCAACATATTTGTTGTCAAGTAAAATAATGATATCTTTATCTCACGCCCTGCTAGCAGTTGCAGAGTGAGTGTTTGATTCTTGAAATATGAAATTGGACTCCTTGTAAGCGCAGTGTACAGGCAACTCTTGTTTCTTGGCCTGTTGGGGCACATCCTGCAATTTACCTCCCTCACAAAGCTCTAGGGGCGAGGCGGTGGGGTCCTCAAGGTTGGGGTTCAACATTTTTTTTAAATAATGATATCTTAAACAAT